GGAATTTAATTAAACTAACACAAAAGAAAATCGTTAAAATAGGCTCGTTGTGAGAAATTAATGTTTGCAACGATTCTTTTCGGTCCCTGCGTGTCCAATAGCCACAATGCTTTGTTCAATTTATTTATTAAATTTTATTTATAACAAAGCTTTTTTAAGGCCCTATACATAGACGCGGCATTGTAACGAAAATATGTTATAATGATGACGGCAGTTTTTATTTTATTTTAATCCCTCTCATTGTTGGAATTGCTGTTCATTAAATTGTGGAGCATTCATTTCGTAAGAGCGGTTCAGCAACTGGTAATATATACGAGAAGCAGATGAATGTGTACGTTTTTCGTGTTCATCTCTGTCAAAAGCATCGTTGTAGAGTTTAGTGTACAGTAGTAGGGTTATTTTACTGCTGATGAAAAATTCATGCCAGGAAGGGCTTTTTTTCATTTGAACCTTTTCTTGCGATTAAATATCATTTTATGGAGAAATGGTTTCGTAATATTGCGCGTCAAATTTCAACCCAACGCTGTCTGAAACTAGATTGTTTTCGTGACTGGAATGAGGGGTATTCGCGGTGGGACAAGTTTTTTTTTTATTGGTACTGCAATTCGAATTGAAATCCATCTACGGAGTAAATATTCTTGACATTACCCTTGGGTTTAAAGTTACCCAAAATTTCAAAGTGAAGACTTTAATCTATCCTGGCATCCACAATATGCTATGCTATGTTTTACGTCATCTGTGTACTGAAACTTGAGGATTTTAACCATTCCTGAATTCCAGACTCAGCTTCTCTCCCGGAATTTCGAAAAGATTATGCTCGTTGTTTTCCAAATGTAAGTGTTTTCCCCCTATGTTTCTAACATATAGCAATCTCTTGAGTTAAAATATACGGTACAGTATTAGCAAAGGCAGCAAATCCCACCTTGATTTGACCATTTTCAGGGCATTTTACCTTGCATTGACAAAAATTGCGGAATGTGTACATTTTTCTGAACCGTCTCTATATACCCACATGAATTTTGAATAATAATTCATAATTGTTTTTTATGGCCCGTAGAGACTCTCCGCTGTACTTGAGAATCGTGGGAACCAAAATTTTAGCCTTCTTTTGTAGGAAAAAATGTTGCAAAGAAATCTACCAGTGTATGCCAGGATTCAAAATTTTACTCTATTGAGACAAATTTTTTTTACTGCAGGTGCGCTTCAAATTTGTAAAGAATTTTTAATTGCTGTGTAATTTTTTTTTGTGGATGTTGATGACTTCCTGATTTTCAAGCCATATCTACTCTGTTCATAGTGTACAGTGAGACCCCAGCAAGATGCGGACATAATTTGTGCATCAAGAGTGTTCCTAAGTTTAGTCTTGTCTTACCATAGACTTACATTAAATAATTTTAATTGGTGTTTCATGGAAGAAATATTCATCAGAACTTGATGAAAAACAACTATTTTTCTAATTGAAATTGATTGAGTCAATATCTTTCAACTCAATAAGAACATTTGGAGCGTTGAATACTGTACCTTATTTGTACAGTACATTGCAATTTTGGCATCTGTAATAATCACATTCAAGTCACAAAGAGTGAAGGATTTTCCTCTATGCTTGAGGTAATTATTTTTTAAATTACCTGAATGGATGGGAGAAATGCCAAAAAAATGTCTTGCATACACAGTATATCTTAAATTTGGAAATATCTTTTTCTTGCAATTCACCCTGATAAAAGACACTTGTCCTGGATCTTATTGGCAATTTTAGCATGCGTGTCGAATCAGTGTCCATATGTCGGGTCTTTTTTATGCCTTTTTTGTTGGAAAATAAATGTCCCTATGTTGAACAGTCCGCATATGGGGGTCTCACTGTATACTGTATATGAAATTACTGTATATTGTACACAGGGTTTCTGGGTGTCGCTGTTGTATTGCTTCCTCAACGGGGAAGTCAAACAGGCAGTGAGAAGCGCCTGCAAACGCCGCCGGGACTCCACATGGCGCACTGGCACTCATCTCGACTCGGTCACTTTCCACGCCGGTCACACCCGTCACAACGAAACCTGCATCGTGACCCTAAATGGCGCTGACACGCCACAAGGAAGCCAGCAAAGTCTCAAGAGCTCCTCGGGTGCCAAGAATAACCCACCAGCCAAGGATCAGTCTGCGCCGATGAGTTAGTGAAGAAAGCAAAAGAAGAAGAAGACGATATATATATATGCTGCATAAACGCAGCGACAACAAAATTAAATTGCTTTGCTGAATTGGAAAAAAGGGTTTCAGCTGTATGGGTCAGTGTATGTGTCGATTACGGCGATGCCTCGGAATAGTCCGATGTTGTCTTGTATCGATCGAGGTCAACACACTGATGAGTTGATGAACGATTTGCCATCATCGAGCAGATACATATACGAGTACTGTATGTATAAGAGCTGTAATTGCAATTTTTGCGAGTTCAGTCGAAATCCAATGTGCTGGAAGAAGCGTTTGATCATCTCGCTGAAAAATCTTTCGTATGAATTCTAGGTTTTTTTTTATAGAGGAAGACTTTCAATTTTGGTTCGATGTATATATGATGATGGCACAATCATGGTTTGAAAAAGAAGCTAAAACGTGTTGATCCGACGATTGAATGACTGCTGAACAGTTTCTTTGTTGGTGCGTTGCTCAGGAGCTCGTGAATTGAAGAAGGCGATTTTCGAGTTATTGATTGAAAAAATATCATACTCTTATTGGCAGCAGCAATCAAGAGATAATCCATGCATGCAATTATACGTGGGTGTCTTAGAAGTTTATGTTTGATTGCAAAGTCAACATCTTCATATGTCTTCAAATAATGGGTGGATCATCGCATGCGCCAAAATGACAAATTTTATCTGAGATGGCTTCGAACAAATTTCTCGAACGAAAGAAAAATTTTGAAAAACAGTTCTTTTTAATTTGTATACTCAGAGCCACATTTTTAACCCTAATTATTGTTTTCGCAATATTCATGCAAATGTCATATCATTTATGCATCAAATTGAGAACAATAATGGATGTGGAACGATAGAAAACTCAGTATAATTTCAAGCAAATATCGTGGCTATAATATGCCGATACATACTTTGGCTTACGTATACGTAACCCCTTCTAAAATAAATTTTCCGTTTGACAAAAGAGGAAGAGTATTGATTAATCAGTATGTTTTCGGATTGAAACTTTCTTCCCGTGCAAAATAAGTGGGCATAATCGTTATTTTTTGGATGAACGAATTAGTATTTTGCGTTTGAAGAATTGTTGCGCTTTATAAAAATCATCTTTCGAAGCTTGATGAGCAAACGAAACACTTTTGCAATGTAGTATATATTTGAAGAAATGAAATAAATTGCATTTTTGTACGAAAGAAAAAATTTCTTCGTGTAAATAAAGTAGAACGAATAGCTTACCTTAGTTCAAATTAATTTTATCCTACCTATATTCGGAAGAATTGAATTTTTATCGTAATCTGCGTGATTATCATCGGGATACTGCCGTATATGGTCACGATCGGACATTCAAACGATGTATCAGCTCGATCTATGCTGCAAAAGAAACTGGATGAACTGCTCGAATGTTGATTTTGCTAAACTTACCGCGGTTCGTGTGTTTAAGAACGTGTATTGTGATTTATTTGAAACGTGATTTTTGTGTCTGATGCTCACATTTCCCCCCATCCTGAGCATTGTATGTACAAAAGTGCATTCCGCCGTCAGTATATATATATAAACTTGTAAATATTTGAATGACAACTTGATGGTCGTCTTCAAATTTGTAATGCTATAGTCGGATAGATAAATTGATTACTGGTGTTTGAAAACGGCAAAAGTCGTGTCTAATAAAATATGTATTTTTGAAATTAGGAAACTATTGTGGAGCAGCATGAAGAGTTTGCTGGAGTTCATGATTTCATTTTGTATGTGTGTTCCATTTTGTAGGCGGAATTTTCGTTGTAATTTTATTATTTCATTGCATTCATCAGTTTCGGGAATCGCAATTAAATCAAAATCAAGTCAGCTTGAAATTCGTGGAGCTTTTATATATGCATGTGAGAAACGTTCATCAAAACACATAAATAAGCATGACTGTTTTTCTGGCTTAATTTCAGACTTTCTGTTCAGAAACCAATTTCCGTCTGTGTCTTTGAGGTGACACAAACAAAATTTACGAGGATTCGAAATCCAATTCGAAATTTTTTTGTCATATTCCGATTTTCATTCCCGGCGACTATTTTAGAGGGGGGGGGGCGACTTCGAAAATTTCTACAGTACATGCATCTTCTTCTTGTTCGGTTCTTGTTGTTAAACCGGACAATGCATGTACTGTATCAAAAAATGTTTGTTTGAATGGGAATTAAATTAAATTGGTTGATGCTTTTATACGATTTTGAATTGCTTGTATCAACAGAACTGAGTTCTGAATTCGAATAAAAATGGATTCATTTTCTTTGGAAGCAAAAAGGACGAATTCCATTATTTTCGAGTGGTGCAACGATATTCCTAGCGATTCTGAATGTTCGGCAGAGAAGTAGCGTCATCTACATAAACTTCAAGGTATGAATAAGTTTGTAACTTCTCCCATTCGCTCTTGACCGTCCGAAAAAGCCTTTCTCTGTTGCTGATGACGAGTCAGGATTCCTCCGAAAATGAAGGAATGCAGTCCACAGAACTACCGTTATCTTATCTGTAGTTTTGTGGGTAGCGTTCTGTGAGTTCTCTTGAAATCAGGTTGGTGTAATCGTCCACGTTAAATTAATCTTGAAACCCGGAGTTAAACTATGCAGTCGTTTTCTTCGTCAGAACGATCCTTTGCGAACATGAGTGATTGCTCGCCTCAATAACTTGCGATACCTTCAGAACGTAATCCTTGTGATTAGTGATACAGTAGAGTGGGAATCTTCAGCAGATTCTGCGTTGGAGTTCGATAGTTTTAGCGAACAGCTTAAGTGTTATGTAGAGAAAGCGGTGCCCATGAAAGTTTTACTGAACCTGTTGTCTTCGTCGTGTTCAATTTAGGTTGACGTGATATTCGCCGAAATCCTTCGAACGACACGCGGCTCTTCATCTTTCGCGATTAGCGTCTGATTCCAGACCGTCGTTTTGCCTGTCGAGAAGAACTCTGAACATCTAGCACAATGGTAAAGTAGCATCTCGTGCCTGTCCGAGATGATTTTCATAATGTGTTGATACCGTATCGTAGGTGAACTTCACGGTCGACGAAATTCGCGTGATGATGGATAGGAAGAAGAACATCCGAAACATGTCCGTAATTGCCCATGTGGATCACGGTAAATCTACCCTCACGGACTCTCTAGTCTCGAAGGCGGGTATCATCGCCGCATCTAAGGCAGGAGAGGCGCGATTCACGGACACACGTAAGGATGAACAGGAACGTTGCATCACCATCAAGTCAACGTAAGTAACATCTTTGCGTGCCACGAGCGTAAGTTACGATATATTCGTTCTATCGTTTCAGTGCCATTTCCATGTACTTCGAGTTGGCAGAAAAGGATTTGGCTCACATCACGGGCGCAGATCAACGTGACAAGGAAACAACAGGTTTTTTGATCAATTTGATCGATTCACCCGGCCACGTTGACTTTTCATCCGAAGTTACCGCTGCACTGCGTGTCACGGATGGAGCCCTCGTTGTTGTGGATTGCGTTTCCGGTTAGTATTTCTTCAATCGTCTGCTGAATGTTCACGATTGTATGGTTGCAATTTGCAGGAGTATGCGTGCAGACCGAAACTGTGCTCCGTCAAGCTATTGGTGAAAGGATCAAGCCGGTACTTTTCATGAACAAGATGGACCGTGCTTTGCTTGAGCTGCAATTGGATCAAGAAGAACTTTACCAAACCTTTCAACGTATTGTGGAGAACGTCAACGTTATCATTGCCACCTATGGTGATGACTCTGGGCCGATGGGTGTGATTTCGGTGAGCTTACAAATATTTAACGGCATCTTTCCTGTCCACAAGCTTCGCGTAGCATGAATAATTTGTCTTCGACCGTTGTTTAGCGAGTGGAAGTTCATCACACTACTCACCCAAGTCGAAGACATTCGTTTCATCAATTCGTTGTTGAGATGACGGGTCAAATTGAGAGACTTTTTAAAACGAAATTTAGTAATCGATGCCCAGAATGTATTAAGCCTGAGTAGACATGCGCTCTTCTGGTTTAGGTCACCTTCGTGGCAGAGCTCTAAATGAATGAGGTTCTTCGTATCAAATTTGGATGAGGTTAGCGTTGTGCTACCCAAATAACCTCCGTTTCTCCTCAATCGTAATAAAAAAATTATAATCTGACTTCGTGAAAACGGTCACAGCTAATCTTACTTGGCGTGGCCCCATCGCAGTCTCAAGTATCAGCTCATGTAATGAAATCTAATCAATTCCTCTTAAGCACCCGAAACGGAAGAATTGCGAAGGATTCGAATTAATCTTCGTGACAGTTGACTGATTTGTTGATTGGGCAGCTGATGCACTGGCATCCTTGATCATAAATTTTGTCGTTTTCAGGTGGATCCCAGTAAAGGCAGTGTTGGATTTGGTAGCGGCCTCCACGGTTGGGCCTTCACACTGAAACAGTTCGCCGAGATGTACGCGGAGAAGTTCAAGATCGATGTCGGAAAGCTCATGTCTAAACTTTGGGGAGAAAACTTCTTCAATGCGAAGACGAAGAAGTGGGCCAAGCAAAAGGACGCCGACAACCAACGCTCCTTCTGCATGTATATCCTGGATCCCATTTTCAAGGTACAGTATGCTATTATTAAAATTTACCGAACGATGTATACTTGAATGATGAAACTTTTTTTGTGGCTCATTTTCCGTGGAGCAATATGATCGATAGGACTGAAATACTTCGCTTTGTCGAGCATAAAGCTCAAGTATTGGTGGATGCCTTACATGTTTCGTAATTCTTTTGTTAGATTTTTGATGCCATCATGAAGTACAAGAAGGAAGATACCGAGAAACTTCTGGAGAAATTGAACATCACGTTGAAGGGAGACGACAAGGACAAAGATGGCAAACAGTTATTGAAGGTGAGTTGCTCTATCGATGAAACGTATCACTGTTCGGGTTTCGGAATGTTCGTTTCCTTCTAGGTCGTGATGAGGACATGGCTTCCGGCTGGAGATGCCTTGCTTCAGATGATAGCCATTCACCTTCCGTCTCCAGTGACTGCGCAGAGATACCGTATGGAAACACTGTACGAGGGTCCCCATGACGACGAGGCCGCAATGGCCATCAAGAATTGCGATGCTGAAGGACCACTCATGATGTACATCTCCAAGATGGTACCGACATCCGACAAGGGCCGTTTCTACGCATTCGGTCGTGTTTTCTCTGGAAAGGTGAGTTTCATTGCTTGAAATCTTCGGCTATTCCATATGCATTATTTTCGGTGCTTCTACGTCCACGTCTGTCCATACGACAACGCACCTGTGATTTGACCAAGGTTGAATTGAAATGATATGTTTTAGGATGGTTCCTGACAATCCGCAAGTCTTAGGCTTTGAATTGAGTGTTCTGTTAATTGGTCAGTTATGTTCATTAAATGTTGAGTACTTCAGTTGGTTCAAGTCAGATACAGTATGTACATTTTTTGATTAGATGAGGATAGATGTGTGATGGTGAGGTTAGGTCACAGTCGCAGTTGAGATTGGATTGAAGGAATGTTGAAGGGTCAGCTTGAATATACAAGTACTGAATGCGCTTTCCTTCACGAATCGGTTTGTTCTTGGATTTTCGCGTAGGTTTCCACTGGCCTGAAGTGCCGGATCATGGGGCCGAACTACACTCCTGGCAAGAAGGAAGATTTGTATGAGAAGTCCATCCAACGAACCATCCTCATGATGGGTCGCTTCGTCGAAGCCATTACCGACGTACCCGCAGGTTTGGAATAATTTTTGTCACGGTTATATCTGGGCTCCAACCGAAGTTGGAGGTCGTTTGAATCGGAAATGCAGTAATCTATTATGTTGCCTCAGTTTCTGGCCTTGCTCCATTTTTGTCGAGCGTCCTTCCTCCAAACTGTCAATTGGTCTATTAATTGTATTCAAGTGATTGCCCAATCCCCGAAGAGTCGCTCGACTGAGAAAAAGTTGAGTTCCCTGGAATGGCCGATTTATTCAATATATCCCATGAACCTTTTTTTTTACATGAATTAAAACTTCTGTTGATGTCGGCATGACATCATGAAAGCAGTAAAGATACTCGAAAGCAAAATAAATGTTCAGCTCAATCTATTGAACTGAATAACGATTTTATTCAATTTACGAGTACTGTAATGCGGGCAGTCACATTTTCTGCCGCAACTTGTGTATACCTACTGAAAGACCACCACTTATTATTTAGTCTATTATTCGTGGCGTCCATTTTTTAGTGCACCTACGTGAGGAAGAAACTCCGAAACTTAACCATGGCTGAAGGAAAAACTGCGATCCGTTCTTAGCTATTTTATCCCCTGAGGGTTAGGCACGGTCAATTTCATTATGGTCAATTGTATTGACAGGTAACATCTGTGGTTTGGTTGGCGTGGATCAGTTCTTGGTGAAGACGGGAACTATCTCAACATTCAAGGATGCGCACAACTTGAAGGTGATGAAGTTCAGCGTTTCACCGGTCGTGCGTGTTGCCGTCGAGGCCAAGAACCCGGCTGACTTACCCAAGCTTGTTGAAGGTAATTTCTGGGATGGGTTGTTCAAGAATTCGACTCCGTATGAGATCACGGGGGTTACTGCGCAGTGAGATCCCTGTAATCCATTTTTCAAGATTTTTACGTTTGTCCGTTGACGTGACAGATGTCACTGGCGGTTGCTTCAAAGTTTTCATGGTACACCGAATCTTCGCGAATTTCATTTTCTTTCGGATCTTCCCTTCTTACGCCTATAAAATGGCACCATAACCGACAAATCATCCGTTCAGCGTGGATTCAATTGAGAAAATGTTACCTTTTCCTTGCTTCAAGATATTTGATCATAATGACGTTTTTATCCAAATTAGAGCGCGCAGTAAAAGGCTTTTCTTGTGAGCAGAAAATTTCCCTTTTACCGGGATATTTGATTTTTCCAAGGTTTTGCTAATTGAAGTTTGAATACTGTACTTGAAAATAAATGAGCCGGAATAGCTTTCCGTAGACGGTTGAGCCGTCTACAGAAAGGATCCTCCTCTCCTTGATGAATTATTACACGTATTGTACTAGCGTTTGAAAACCATATCGTTTTGATTTGATAATGTAGGATTGAAGCGTTTGGCCAAGTCCGATCCTATGGTCCAGTGCATCATTGAAGAATCTGGCGAGCACATCATCGCTGGAGCTGGAGAACTCCATTTGGAAATTTGCTTGAAGGATTTGGAAGAAGACCACGCCTGCATTCCGATCAAGAAGAGTGACCCTGTTGTGTCCTACAGAGAAACAGTCAGCGAAGAGTCAGATCAGATGTGCTTATCGAAATCACCGAACAAACACAACCGACTCTTCATGAGAGCCGTTCCGATGCCCGACGGGCTTGCCGAAGATATCGACGATGTAAGTCGATTATTTTTATTTTTCGGAAAAATGTTCAATTCAATGAATATTCTCGTCCATCATTGCACCTCCTCATGAACACAACGTATCCATGTTAATCCGATACGTGTCTTCATTCAACAAGATTATATTAGCGTAAGTTAGAGTAATTCTAATTTCCGATGAACAAGTTGTCGTCACTCCCTTGTCTTCGTGAATCTAAAATCAACCGCATTTATGAAGACTAACGCAATAAAAATTTGTCCGGCAGGGTAAAGTGAATCCTAGGGACGAAGTGAAAACTCGTGCTCGCTACTTGAGCGAAAAGTTTGAGTACGATGCGACGGAAGCTCGTAAAATCTGGTGTTTCGGTCCTGATGGCACTGGCCCGAACATCTTGGTCGACTGCACCAAGGGAGTGCAATATTTGAACGAAATCAAGGATTCCGTCGTGGCTGGATTCCAGTGGGCCTCGAAAGAAGTAAGTTCAAGCAATTATTATTTTTTTCGATCAGCGAAACAGCCCGAATGTTTTCTTGTAAAAGTTCATTCAGAGAAAATTACGTATCCCTATTCGCGCAATGCATCAGTTTGCGATATGTTTTTTTTTTCTCCATTTTTAACATTAGAATTTACGTCATTCTTCGTGTGGAACATCTGTTGGAAACCTCGCATACAGTATTTAGACATTTAGTAAGCTATATGTTCTGTATTTCTGCTGTTTGGCAGATGTAACTCGATCCTTTTCAGTTGCAGAGTAACTTTTCTGACACTCATTAAGTACTAAAGTACAAAGGTCGTTTTTGAAGTCCCGTTTTACTGAAAAGTATTTGTATCCTATTAACGTTTGCCTCTGTTTTTCAAGGGTGTTTTGGCCGAGGAAAACATGCGAGCAGTTCGTTTCAACATCTACGATGTGACACTCCATGCCGACGCAATTCACCGTGGTGGCGGTCAGATCATCCCAACTGCACGTCGTGTGCTTTACGCCTGTGTGTTGACAGCGAAACCAAGATTGATGGAGCCGGTCTACTTGTGCGAGATTCAGGTAAGTTGTGTTTTTGGCTCTCAGTTGAGAGTTTTATTATTTTTTCAATATTTGGTTCTAGTGCCCTGAGCAAGCTGTTGGTGGAATCTACGGAGTGCTGAATCGTAGACGTGGACACGTTTTCGAAGAAAGTCAAGTCGCTGGCACACCGATGTTTGTCGTGAAGGCGTACTTGCCTGTCAATGAGTCCTTCGGTTTCACGGCCGATTTGCGTAGCAACACTGGTGGACAAGCGTTCCCGCAGTGCGTCTTTGACCACTGGCAGGTGTTCCCGGGAGACCCATTGCAAGCTGGCAGCAAGATTTACGACGCAGTCCAGGTAAGGCTTCTAGAAGTACTGTACTGTACTTCGTGCGATTCACAGTCAGTAGAGGCGGAATAGTACGACTGCATTTCGAGGATATGTGATACGGTACTTGATGCGAATAGTGTACCCGAGGGGGAAATACTACGGTATATGTTGAGTGATTTGGGGAAATGCGAAAGAAGGATAAAGTCTTCAACCTGAACTGCTGATGTGACACCTGGGAGAGGAGAATGATTCTCATCCTCCCTGGGCGAATCTTCGTGGGATTTATTCTCTACTAGTTGATTAAATCATAAATAAGGGGAGAATAATTTTTTTTAGGGTGCGACAATTTTATCACTAATTTCAAAAGATGTTCGTTTTGTTCAGTTCGTCAGCATTTATCCCCTGTCTTATAGTTTTAATAGCTTGGGATTCACTTGTTACAGTTTTGATTTGGTGAAAAGTTACTTGTCGACTGTTGAACGATTGAGGTGGAACTTACTTCGTATGAAATATTTATGTCCTTCAATCCCACGATGTGAATTCAGCTGCTTGGCTTGTTCAATGCGATAATCGCAACTTTTTTTATTTTGCAGGATATTCGTAAGCGCAAGGGAATGAAGGAAGGTTTGCCAGACCTGACATCTTATTTGGACAAATTGTGAAACATCTTCGGGGGAAAAAGGAATGCAAAACTTGCGTAATGAACCTCACTGTTACGCAAGAAAATTCTTTAAAATATGTTGAGGGACAGAAATGAACCAAGTGAGGAATGAAATTTATCGTGTCGATTCACTTAAACTCGCAACATCTCATTTCATGACGTTGAGACATTGTCAAGTGGATTGACGGATCTACTGGGATTACAAGTGCAGTATACTGTATCTGTGTACTGACTTGAACAGGTGGCACGGGTGACCGCCACCTGTGAATGCGATTGCGTTATAGAACATGCAAGCCTAAGTAATGAGAGTATCACAGAGTAGATTATATTGTAGTGACATCTATATAGTAATCCATGTAATTCTCAATCCCAGGGTTGTTGAATTTTGACTAGATGTCGCTCACACATGGATGTAACGTCACGTGCTTGATAACTTTCACTGATCTTGTTTGAGGGCAAGTAAATTATATGCTTCCCATTAAGCATGCAATAACATGCCAGTGAAAGAGAAACTCGAACTGCCCAGATGAACCCGAGTCTCTCAAGTTACTGGAAGCATTGAAAGAGACTGTCGACTGTGCTGCTGAACTCCGAAAAACAAGAAAATGAGGGCAAGTTGATCCTTAGTGTTTATCCTCATGACACAAAATTGCTGAGTGATACCTTAATTTACAGGCGACATTTCTGGTGGCTTTAGCCATGTTGACAATCGTGGCTTTTACCTCACACTTTGTTGAGGGCATAGCTGAGGAAGTGGCGGCACAGCCAGCGAAAACGTGAGTACAGTATAGTAGCATACTGTTCTTCGAAGTTTCAGCCCGAAGAAAAACTATGCCAACACTTGCCTATCTAATGTACCATATATCACCATGATCAATGTATGATTACCTAAATTTAGATGTGCATTACGGGCGCCATGATTTTACAAAAGAAATCTAAAACAACAATGCAAGTTCCAACATTTGGATTTTCTTCATCATTCAAGCATCCTTCTTCCATCACAAATTAAAAGGGAAGACACGAAGGGAAATAGCGGTACTGCGTCTGAAAAGGCGCGAGCTGAGTTTCAAAATTGATAATGTTAACCGTCATTTAAATATACATTTAATTTTCAAATGGATAGTTTTTAATATCATCAGTGGAACTCATATTCTGGTCTTATAAACGAACAACAAAAAATTATATTATTCAACGCGAAAACAAAAGTCCTTCCAGCTACGAAGGAAAATTCTCGTGAATTTCTGCTCTCGAAAAAGAAAAGCGGGACAGAACCTTTTAAATTTACTGTACAGTACAATATATGCATAACCTCATCGTATTTTCGGCTTAGTATGAAAGCTCACTCGCATGTTTCATCAGGGAACCATCACAACGCAACAAGCGGATCCCGGCAAAGCCTCTTCAGGTGGCTAAATCAATCAGTCGCCACGTCAAAAAGGGCGTGTCCAAAAAGGACCCCAACGTAGACGGACACCAGCGAGCTCCAGCAAAGCAAGGTCATGTCTTCTCCACCCGCAGCAAGAAACGCGTCTTCTCCGCTCGGAACAATGACAAGTTCCATACCCGCGCTCGGAGCCTCGGACCCCTCGGTCGCTGATCCAACAAAAGCATTGGACCTGTATATACCTTGTTTGGAAAGAAAATACGCGATGTATATAGTATGTACAGTAGAACTCCGGTTATCCGAATTTCTCATCAGCGGAACATCCATTGACACTCAAATATGCACATTTTCTCCTTCTCGAAACGAAACACATTATTTTTTCTCTTTGGGTGAGCAATACATCAACTCGCCAGAATCCTTCATCAGACCTGGATGAGAAGCGCGCAACTCAAAAAGTACGGTACAGTACTTCATTTTAACGCAGAATCAAAATATCCTTAGCACATGGAAAAACTTTCAACATTTCGGGGAAGGGGGGAGATCTTATTTCGGAGCAGTTTTTACTCGAAAGACTGCGTGACACTTGCAATCAACTCAACTGTACATTAAATTGCTCAATTGACAGTAAAAACTACTCATGATCCTAATCACTCAATTCAGGATAATCGGAGTAATACTGTAATCACATCGCACGGAAATTACTAGCATTCTAACACCATTCGATTCAGCGTTGTTAGAAAATCATGTTGGAAAAGAATAGATTCGATGTTGACGCATTAAAACCCCACGAGAAAATAAAATGATATCAGCAAAAATAATTCCCTTATTACATGTACAGAAATGACATAGTACAGTATTCTCTTCCAAAATTTGGGCAAAAGATGCTTCAAAAGTTTGAAATATCCTCCAGTACCAAAGCTTCTGAGAAGTCCTTCAAACCGATGTGAAATTGACCAAATGCGAGTCTTTTCTTTTTATAAAAAAATTTCCTGATGATTTGGAAAAATTAAATTTATTATTCTTGATTGATTTTCCGATAAATCATCTTTGCTGACCGAAGTTTCACAAAATCAAATCAATATAACCAAGCAAATTTCACAGGCCATGAACATTTTTCACAAAAGAAGTACGGTAATACTAGACCAAGTGCTTAGTTTGTTTACTCAACTAAGTTCAGTGTCATTTTTTTTTCGATGAAGGGTTTATATAGACTTGATATATGCGAGATTTTTGGACTCCTTTTTCAGGGCAGCATTTTCTTTTGGTCAGTCCAGGAGTAATACTCAACCAATTTAATACTTTATAAAGACGTCGCATTGCAAATACACTTTTATGAGGAGTGGGATGCTTCTCTTTTTTTGTTGAGGTTCTCAAAACCTTTTACCAGTTTCTAGATTTTCAGTGAATGGGTAAAAGTGTGATTGGATCTGTATCATTGGAAAGATGTGCCGCAATACATGAAACACAGCTCTCATTACATGGTAGAGCCTCTCGGAGAACACTTTTAAAAAGTATTCTTCACGATTTTTCCTTGAAAAAAAATTATAAAAAAACCTAGAACATATCCATTATTTTGCGCGAAGGATGACTACACATGGACACAAGAATTTGCAAAACCAGAATCGATACCAGCAAATTTGGTTTTTTTTCTTGCATTATCGTTCATCAAACGAAAAAGGGAGTAGTAGAAAAATTCATGAATTCAAATGACTCCTCGGGGCAGAGATGCATCTGCATGAGAACGTTGGCTTATGATAATTCCAAACTTTTATTGAAAAAAAGGGCGGTTGATGACCTCCCAAAAATAATTCCGTTCACGTTGATTTTTTTTTTCGACACTAAATTTTCGATTCACATGAATGGCAACGAGTATAAGGTCCGTTTTGTTTCAGAGTTCGCCAGAATTTGAAGCACTCATTATTCGACCCGGTTCATCAGCCTCTAGAACCCTAGATATTATTCATTGCAATATAAAGTGAGACCCACACATGCGGACACCTTGACATGAGGACAATTCGACATAGGGACATTTATTTTTCAATAAAAAGGACATAAAAAAGGCCTGACATATGGACACTGACTCAACATGAGGACATAGCGCGATAAAATCGCCAATACATTTCACAAAAATTGACTTTCATTTGGTTTGATTGCAAGAAACAGATTTTCCAACCCTAAAATTTATGCAAGAAATATTCTTTGTCATTTCTCCCAAAAACCAAATTGCCAGCTCCTGGAGTCAGCCCAGACCCATTTGTAAACCCATTTCTTGAGGCATTAGAATTGAACCATGAATGGGTTTGAAAATGAGTCTGGGCTTATTAATAAGCCCAGACTTATTTGTAAACCCATCATTTCAATTTGAATGTTTAATGTTTGAAAATAAAATTTACAGTGAGACCCCCACATGCAGACACCTTGACATGGGGGCATTTCTTTTTCATCAAAAAAATCATAAGAAGGCCCAGCATATGGACACTTACTCAACATGAGGACATTGCATGATAAAATTGCCAATGGATTTTAGGAAAATTGACTTTCATTAGGCTTAATTGCAGGAAACAGATATTTCCAACCCTAAGATCTATGCAAGAAAAATTCTTTGGTACTTTTCCCATCACTTTCCCATCCATTCAGCTGTTTAAAAAAATGCCCATAGCACAAAGGGACTTCCTTCTCTCTTTGTGACTTGGATGTCATTTTTACAGATGCCAACATTTCAATGAAATGTACAGCAGTATACTATTCAATGCCCCAAATGCTCTTATTGGGTTGAAAAAATATTCACTTCATCAAATTCAAGTGGCAAACAATTTTTTCATTGAATTCTGAAGAATATTTCTTCCATAAAACACCAAATAAAAATTATATAATCTAAGTCCATGGGAAAAGAAGACGACTTATGGACAATTCAACTTCAGGACACTCTTGATGCACCAATTATGTCCGCATCTGGGGGTTTCACACTATACTTCAGAAAATACCGGAATTTTCCTCACATTCAAGCAGATCCCTGCTCGATCAACACCGCAATATTTAATACGTTTTTTTTTCTTGTCGGGATCCTGAAAAATAAAACGCGCGTAAAATTCGGATCAGAAATATATGTCAGTCAAAGAATCATATACGACGCCAGATAACCACAGGCTTATCATAACGCATAAAATTCCTATTGCATGATGCAAGTCAACAAATCCCTAAAGAAGACGGGTTTCTTTATCCTGAAAAACAAATGAACCCCACATACCGACAAGGTCTACTGCGGAGATGGACTGTCAATAAAACCTTCTTCCTGCGGACATGCCGTCAGTTACTTCCATGCTGTTGATCCTTTCTGAAAGAGGAAACGCGATTTTTTTAAAACAAAAATTCCGTTCACAGTGAAAAACCGCGTCAGTTATTTACAAAAAAATTGATGAAGTCCTGAATGAGGCTTTGAACAAAGGAAGAACGTCCATAAAAACATTTGAGATACAGTAAAGAACTGCGAAAACCATGTTTAAGGTGAGTGACGAATGAGAAACAGCAGTTCAATCCCCTTTTTGCAGATATTTTTACAGCACTGTATTTTGGGTTCATCGAAAAAAAAAGTTTGGCTCGTCTTTCGAGCCATGGTGACAAAAAGAAAAAGAACGACGAGGAAATTTATTATTTCATCAACCTAAATTAAAACATAACATACAAATCAATACGGTCACAACTTTAACAACGAGCTTAGACTTCGATGAGTCCCAATCTTGGCAGTGACATAAGAAGAAAAACGACCCCATAGGAAAAAAAAAAAAAGTATCCACAGAAAAACCTCTCCGCAAAAAATGTCCAGAAGAAATATTGTACTGTCACTATAACGCCAAAAAAAATCCATCAATTTATTCCTACGGAGTTTGTACTGTGACATATCGTAAAAATCATGTAAAGCAAAGAAAAACATCCTGAAATTTGTTTGTGTTTTCTTGTCCAAAAAATGATCCAAGTATATTGAGAAAAATTTCAGAAAGTTTCACATATTTTCCCTCAAAAATAATTTGATGTTGTACGGTTCAGTGCTGTAAGAATAGTTTCAGAACATTGACCAAAAACAAAAGCGTTTCACAAAAGTTCACGCCATATTAGTGCATCAAGAGTGTTTACACAAAAAGAAAACTTTCCAAAAGGTCAATTTGACCTGATTTTGCTGGAAAACCCCAGAAACTTTGTTGCAGATATGCAAGCAGGAAGGGAAAACTCTGTACTAATTCATATATATATTTTTTTAGAAAAATGTTATTCAACGAAAATTGCAATGCTATAATCTTTTCCAAGTCCCCACAAATTTGTTGTAATGGCATTCAAACAGTCTTGAGAGGCTGAGAAAACGTTAAAAAAAATCCACTCCATTTCTTGGTCTGGTCATATATTTTCATCAAATTGAAACCTTTTTTTTTTTTTTTGGTCCAACCTAGAGACTTCGTGATTTTGATACTGATCATTCTATACAGGCCAAACTTCTACTGGCTCTTTTGTGCCTGATGGTAATCTTCCTGGAATCCCAAGCAACATTTTGGCGAAACTCTCGTCGAAGAAGTCATCCCACAAGTCAAACGTAAGTTACTTCACCAAGTCATAGTTGAATCTTGCGAGCAAATCATGCCAACAATTTAGACACGGGAAAATTGAAAAAAAAGAGCGTGTTCATTAAATACTGAAGAAAAATAAAAATATCATATCACCAGAAAGAGATTAACCCAGTGACCAAAAGGCGTTCAATATTTTTTAATATCAAATTAAAACTCGAATTAAAAAATGAAAAATTAATTGCATTTTTCCCCAGATTAGTCCAAAAAATACCCCACAACTGAGTAATGAGAATCTATTTTAGATTTCAAATCTACTCCACTCTACTCAAATTTCTCGGGAACGTCCTTCGAAACATATTAAATAAATGACAGTATACTCAGCGTAGAACGACAGCAAAATAAATTAAGCAAGAACAAATAAAACAGTGCTCTCAGCACAATGAAGCGAACCAAAAAAGCTTTCATCAACTTTGAAAATTACTCGGATTGCCACGCTTCTGACAAAAAAAAACATGATTTTTTCTTCCTCGGAGGACAATACTTTTTAGCAATAAAAAAAATGCTTTCTACTACAGTATATTTTTTTTCTACTCGAAGGTTGTACATGCAGTATTTAATGAATTTCGATCACAGTTCGTTCCTCAACATAGAGAAACCAGCATTTGTGGTTCGATGCCCTTCATATATTGAGCAGCGTTGAACCCCAAAACTTTGTCCAGAAGGATGTTTGCAAATCTTGCAGGTGGGCCCTCTCCACAACTAACTCGTCCACAACGATTTTCTCTGTGTAACGAAATTTTTCTCTGACGGGTTTCTTTTTGCACGCTACTATAGAGAACAACAAATTTCTACAACAGTTTTTTTTTCTCATCCCTCGAAATTTTTTTTTTTAGAGATTCGTCATGCATGGGGAAAGAACCCTTCAAGACAAAAAAATTCGTTATAAATTCGTGTGATGAAATTTTTCTCTGACGGGTTTCTTTTCGCATGCTACTATAGAGATCAACAAATTTCTACAACAGCTTTTTTTCTCATCCCTCGAATTTTTTTTTTGTAGAGATTCGTCATACATGGGGAAAGAACCCTTTAAGACAAAAAAAAATCGTTATAAATTCGTGTGATGAAATTTTTCTCTGACGGGTTTCTTTTCGCATGCTACTAGGGAACAACAAATTTCTACAACAGTTTTTTTTTTCTCATCCCTCGAATTTTGTTGTTGTTGTAGAGATTCGTCATAACAATGGGGAAAGAACCCTGTAGGACCAAAATAAAATTAGCTATTGTACAGGTAAAATCGAAGACAATATCATGGCCCTATAAATACTGAGCAGTAAATGCCTCCACAGGACCCACTACAGTCGATCTCCACTGCGGTTCGGCAGTTCACGTACTCTCAGCAGCGGAGACTATTTGGCACGCCAAAGGGCCAGTCGCCGGGTCGACTATCCACCCTACATCGGACGGTCGGTCCGGAGGAGTTCCCTTCGCCAGGACACCCGGGTCCCATCCTACAGTCGTCTTCCGGCAGGCGATAATCACATTTTCGCGACACCAGTGAAATACGTCGTGTTCGGAGCCCCGCCCAGTGGGAGATACTACACGAGAGCCAGAAACTTCGGCGGCCGCGGGTGATAATGATGCATTTTTCATTTTCTTTTATTTCATGTTATTTTTTTTCAAGTGTTTCAGCAAATAAAAAAGGGCCAAAAATTGTAAGAATCAATTCTTTTTTTTTAATTGAGACATTCTGAAGTTTTAAAAAATAGTGCCAACCTTGCATAGCGCCACAAATCTGGTTGAAAAAACCATCCGTTCTTTTTTTTCAATTGAGAAATCTTGAAGCAAAAAAAATAGTGACACCCTTGCATAGCGCCAAATTTGGTTGAAAAACCCATCCTTTTTTTAAAATTGAGAAATCTTGAAGTAAAAAAAAAATAGTGCCACCCTTGCATAGCGCCACAAATTTGGTTGAAAAAACCATCCTTTTTTTTTTAATTGAGAAATCTTGAAGTAAAAAAATAGTGCCACAAATTTTGTAAAAAAAAACCATCCGTTTTTTTTAAAATTGAGAAATCTTGAAGTAAAAAAAATAGTGCCACAAATTTGGTAAAAAAAACCTTCCGTTGTTTTTTTTTTTAATTGAGAAATCTTGAAGTAAATAAAAATAGTGCCACCCTTGAATAGCGCCAAAGTTTGAAAAAAAAGCCACCCGTTTCTTTTTTTTTCATTGAGAGATCTTGATGTAAAAAAAAATAGTGCCACCCTCGCATAGTGCCACAAATTTCCCTGGAAAAAATCTAAATTGATTGTATTCTCAAGGGAAACCTTTATTTAGGGCTAACTCACTTCGTGCAACGCAAATTTCTTCTTCCGGATGAAAAAATGGGTCAAAATTGAATAAATTAGGGCCTTTCACCGGGGATATTACTGAAAATCACACACCTAAGCCCAATAATTTTGTACGTGCTATTTTAGAAGTGACACTGTTAAAAATACTGTTTTTGTTGCACAAAGGCACCGTCATTTATTTAAAAAAAAATTTCAAGTAATAAAGCGGGGGCTTTGTTGGAAACATCAATGATTCATGCATGACGGCACTATAAATATAAAACTCAAACAAAATTTGAAGAAGAGAAAACAGTTCTGCTCTCTTTATTACTAGACATAATTTGTGCGAATCCAAAATATTTTTTCTTATTGAATACATTGAGATTCAATAAAGAAACGGAGCATTTGAGAGCTTAAAAAGTTAAAACTAATTCTCGCAGCTTTCCCTCCCATAATGTCCAATCATATTCATAAAAATTCAAAATAAATCCCATTATAAATTAAATTTCAAGAGATAGCCCAAAACAAGCTGATTTTTTGTTTCTTTTTGAGGAATTTCATCACAATCTGTGCACATTACACAGAAAGACATGTGCTTGTTCTTTGCTTTTTGGGCTCCTTTCCATTCCAAAAACGGCAGATTCAGCGTGATTTTCGTGTACACATTTATTTTCTGTATCTTCGAGATCAGAGAGAATTTCATTCAATTTTGTTGGGGGAGTTTTCTACATTGTTAAAAAAACAGAAGAAGCAATTAAACATGTCACCACTGAAGTACTGTATTCATATATAAAGTACATGATGGACAGAGATGATGGGGGTTTCAAGTGAATGGTTCTCTCGATATTATACAGTCATCAACGAATTCCCGAGAAATGATTTCCAGCTGGAATTCCCCGTCATTCACATTCTCGGTTCTTTCTAGATATCTCAAGCTTGGTCGGATGCATTAATGTCCGTATAGTGGAGCCATTCGGATCCAGGCACAAAGCTCATTCATACCCTCACAATGATACTAACCCGCGTATCTTGTTGTATATTCCTGAATAATTTGAATCCACCCCTGTTACACCCATGAAAAAGGGGATTTCCGAATCCGGGCACAACAAAAACGGGAAACTGCCCAGTTTTCCACGGGGATGAGATTTAGATGACTATAAATGCACCTCCTCAACGGACGTTGGGAAGGAGTCTTCATTTCCTTCGGAACTCTTCCCGAGAAAAGAACCTCAGATTTTTTTCCAAAGCCTCAATCTATTTGTTGAAAAAAAAAAACCGTTTTAGAATTGCTTCACCATTTATAACCAAAACGCAAAAAAAAATTATATTGCTGCTCTGATTTTTTTTTCTATTCATTTTCTGTCCATCGCGGGACATTTTCAGAGAGCGAGAAAAGTGATCATACATCAAAAAACAACATGGAAATCACAAGAAATGTGAGTCAATATTTTGTGAAGAAAAAATTTGTTGTGGAAGTTGGAGACTAAAGAAAATTTTGAAAAATGAAAACCCCGTTTTCGTCAGATGATCAGAGTGCTAGCTTTCATCTACCTATCATCCTTGTTCTGCCTAACGGTGGCACAATTCTCGTCGTACGAAGACGATTCGGATTCGGATTATAGCTCAAGTTCTGAAGAAGATGAAAGGTAAGAATTTTTTTTACAATAATTTTACGGAAAAAAAAATAGAAACGCAAAGAATATATATACACAGTAATTATATATTCACGTCGAAAGAAGTTTACGTTTACGTCGCTTGGGGAAAATTCCGTCGTTGAATTTTTTCAAGTGATCGCGTCCACGTCGAGGAAAAGTCAAAATATTGTACATGTTTCCAAGAACAGAAAATTTTCTAGAATATTTATGCAAATGCATTTTATTTTACGCATCATCTCTATTTTTAAATTCTGCTAATATAAAACCACTGCTAATTCCAGATTTTAGATCGCATCAAATTAAGGTGAATTTCTGATAAAAATGTTGTCGTTACTTGAGTTGAACGGAAATGTTAACCTACTCAAATGCTTGAAATCTTTTCAACTTACTCAACATATTCCAACCACTGAATCATGACTCGAGATAAATACAATAACACCGTAGCCCTAATATTGTCTGATGGGTTTCATTCAAAAATTACGACTACGTGCTTTTCTTTGCGGTTACAGTATTTTCATGGTATAATACATCGTCTGAGGGAGGATGTACAGTTTTTAATTGTAAATTGGCTGGATTCTGTCCCATCAAATTCTGCTGTACAGTTTTTGGCATATAAAGAGCAACAACAAAAAACTGACAGTCTCAGATTCGTGCGCAAACCTTCAATTTGAGAGATAGGGAGTAAAGAGGCATCCTAAAAAAGGAATGAATGCACGGTCATGCAACATAAATTTAGGAAATTCAGAATGTTATTCATGACAAATATTTCCTCGTGATTATCCATTCCTCAACAAACAGATAAAATAAAATTAATTTAAAATCTACCGCAGTTTCGTCAACAACAAAAAAATAATAATCTGCTCTAAATTTTTGGCAGCAGCAATCTCAGAAGACAACCAGTCTACACCGTCCGAAGCAGACAGAGCCGCAACATCAATCGCCCCCAGGGCATCAGCCGATCAGTCAATCGAAAATCGTATCGCCACGACACTCACGTCCGAGATTTCAATCGCCTGCCTTCCGGAGACAATCACATATTCGCGACCCCAGTGAAATATTTAGTTTTCGGCTCACATCACAGCGGTCGGTATAACACTAACGCCAGGGTTTTCGGTGGGATCGGAAAACGTTAATTCAGACTTTATTATACTGTACGGTGATCAACGCGCTCCTGAAATCTGGAAAATGGCCTATATCACACCAAGAAAATTATGAACGCATATAATCGTGTCTCAGAAAGATGGGACGGCTTTAAAAAAAACTCTTAACAGATAGTTTTGACCGCTGAAAAAAAAAATAATGAGAACATTTGGGTCAATCCCATTGACATTCATTCCTTATACTGCCGTCGAACCTCTTTAAATCAAATTATATTCGATTTTAAGGGGGGGCAGCATTTTTTTTAGAAAAAAAAAGAATAATTGCAGGACGGTAAAGTTGGTGACATTCTGAGCTTTAAAATAAATGAGTTGGAAGGATTCTGAAGTTGAAGGCAAGGTTACATGTGCAGTACCTATAATTAAACCTGTTCATGGCCTTCTAAAAAGCATCAAGATACATTTGAATTGCTTTTCTATATCTTTCCTGGGTCGCCAGAAAAAAATTGCACAAAGGCTCTCAAAATTCGAGCCATGGAGATTCAGGGGAACCCCATTTTTTACTCAGGGAGGTTTAAATTAAGTTATTCTCGAAGGAATTCAGATAAATAGTGACGAAAAATTTGACTTACGGGGGTTTTCATCCAAATTTCAACGAGCAACAATCTAAAGATAATGAGTCATTTTGCCATGAATGCCACAAAATGTTCCTCTCATTTCCCTCGCTTCAAAGAAAAATAATTGGTGTGTAGCAGATCACTTTATATTGTCTCATACACGTCAGATTTTTTTCCCCCACTGCTTTTAAAGCTGCCCCATCTTCCTAAGATATAAATGTATTAATTGTGTGTTCATAAATCTTGGCTATAATGTATCCCATTTTTGCGGATCTAGCAGCGTGTGAATCGTCCCGTATCAAAGCGCCAAATTTTGTATTATGCTCGTGATGCTTGATCTTCTATTTCTGAAGGGTATTAAAAAATTCGATGTGAAAACGTATTGAGTTGAACGATGTCAATCGAAATAATGCATGCGTTGAATCTGTTTTCATAAACAACAAATTCCTTGATTTGACTAGCTCAACAGCGATTTACACGATTATCGGAAGGGTTCAAGGTTGGAAAACAAGAGCGAAGGGTCTTCGTGTCCTCAACACACTAACGTGGGCATCATCATCATCATGCATTTGCGATGGTCAGGAAAAATGCGAGATATCCCGGGTATATCGATTCTTTTTTAGATTAAATCACGCCGAAAGAAGCACGTATGTATACTGTATCCAATCGGGAATCTTCAATAACACCGAGTACCGAATTTTGAACTTTTTTCCACAAGATAAATCTGCCAAAGAAATTCCGATTCATAATTCATATACAGCATGAATTCAACTGTGACCATGAACCACATCCAATTCAAGTTTGGAAATTTCTCTGGAGACGTTCAAATGTTACATAACTGCATCCCTTCCATTCTGGTTTTTTTGTTACGTGGGTAGATGTCAGTCCTTTTGATCATACAACTACTGTACAGTGAGACCCCCAGATGCAGACATAATTGGTGCATCAAGAGTGTCCCTAAGTTGAATTGTCCCCAAGTCAAGATTTGTTTTCTCATAGACTGACATTATATAATTTTGAATTGGTGTTTTACGGAAGAAATGTTCTTCAGAATTCCATGCAAACAAATTTGTTTGCCACTTGAATTTGATTAAGTGAATATATTTTCAACCCAATAAGAACATTTGGAGCATTGAATAGTATACTGCTGTACATTTCATTGAAATGTTGGCATCTGTAAAAATTACATCCAAGTCACACAGAGAAAAGGAAGTCCCTTTGTGCTATGGGTATTTTTTTAACAGCTGAATGGATGGGAAAGTGATGGGAAAAGTACCAAATATTTTTTCTTGCATAGATCTTTGACTTGGAAATATCTGTTTCCTGCAATTAAGCCAAATAAAAGTCAATTTTCCTAAAATTCATTGGCAATTTCATCATGCAATGCCCTCATGTTGAGTAAGTGTCCATATGTTGGGCCTTTTTATGATTTTTGTTGTTGACAAAGAAATGTCCCCATGTCAAGGTGTCTGCATGTGGGGGTCTCACTGTAAATTTTATTTTCAAACATTAAACATTCAAATTGAAATGATGGGTTTACAAATAAGTCTGGGCTTATTAATAAGCCCAGACTCATTTTCAAACCCATTCATGGTTCAATTCTAATGCCTCAATAAATGGGTTCAAAAATGGGCCTGGGCTGACTCCAGGAGCTGGCCATTTGGTTTTTGGAAGAAGCCAAATGAATGGGTCAGCAAATGCCTTATAGTGAATGGGTGCCCTCAGGCCAAAAGATTTCTAATGCCAATTTTTTTGCTGGGGAAATGCCAGCTGAATCCAAGACCCATTTCAGTTGACACACAAACACTAATTCAGCCGCATTAAAGGGTAAGAGTTGATCATGTTTTATGCGCAATTATTTTAAAATACAGTAGTGTTCAAGAGGTTTCTATGTGTTGCTCCAGCAGCAAATACGGTAGTTATTTTTTAAATTTTTGCCTGAAATGTCTGTGGATTCACGCATTCATTCCGCTGGAGATTAAAAATGCTGAATTCCCAGCAGAATGAACTTCGTAGGCAAAATGAATAAAATGATAGAACTTCAATACATCCAATATGTTAACCCTTATCTAGATCGCGAAGTGGCGAAATAAATGTTTGGAGTTATATCGGGCCCATAATCCAGGATTTTCCCGGCTGAGAACGCGGCTCAACGAATTATTTTAGGTAAAATATTCTTTTCAAACCATTATTGCAAAGGGAATATAAATATTTCTTCGTACAGAGTTCAAAAAATCCATGAATATTACGTTCGTTGGTCACAATATATGGGTGTATATAAACTCACCATCCATAAAAGTGGGCGTCGCCTCAGGCCTATTTAAGCGAAGGCCCATTTGAAGTCACTTCACCAGTTCCCATTCCATTCCTTCTGTCGACAGGGAGTCACTGTGACGCGAGACATTTCCATGCTCCTGAACAGTGCTGGACTTTCTCCGATTCTTTCAAAGCCGTCTGAATTTCTGCATGTATCTGCGACAGTGTTTCAAAAGTGAAAAATATACTCGCTGATCAGTTTAACAAAAAAAATAGAGCTTACATGCAACTGATTTTCAATCTTTTTCCTCTCATCGCCAGAAGTACAGAAACCATTATAGTGCAGCGAGTGTCGAGATGAATTCGAAGCAGATAATCGTGAGTATATTGTAAATATGCTTAATCGGGCATGGGATTGAACTGACAGAAAATCTGACACTCACGTGTTTCCACAGGGTTACATCTTGCTCACGTTGACGGCAATCATCCTGTCATTCGACCTGGTTCAAGCACAACGTTTCCGCAGCAGGTGAGTAGTTCACAAGGCACCCATATTTTTCCAGCTTCAACTCTCCAAGAACTTCCATGAATATGAATAAAAATTTTGGCAAAACCACACATGGAAAGAATAAATTGTACATTGTATTTGTTTCATATTTTGAACTGTGAGAGGTTTTTAAAATATTAATGATTTAGCACTGGAAAGTTGCCAGAAGTACTGATCATCTTGGGCCCATATATATGATGCTTGCCCAATTTTTCTGCATCAATTTCAAAAAAAAGGGGAAATTTATGCAGATTTACTTGAGTACCATGCACCCTTTAGTAAGACATGCCATCAAAATTTTCACCCTAAAATTTTGATGAGATCCTATTCCCAAGTAAGAATCGCACCCCACTTCTACAGTGACTAAAAAAAATATTCTAGAAGTAAATATGAAACATCAGCGTTCCAACATGAATTCAATAAATGTTCAAATTCTTTTCAATCAAAAAGTTCTTGTCAAAAGTGTTCCTTTATGTTGAAGTGTGGCGTGCTTCACGTGCGCAAACTTCTAGCATTCTTGAAAATTGTATCCAAACTTATGACATGCACTCCCTTTTTTCTCTCAATTTTAAGAAACATAAAGAAGGTTTCGTGCGGTAATCAAGTAGATTAATACGGTACTGTACTTGCAAAAAAGCAATAAATATTATTAATTGAACTCTTTGTACACCTCGTTTTATATGAAGTAAATGAACAATTGAGTCCCTATCCATACTCACAAGTTGTTCTTGATTATTTTTGTCCTGGCATTCCACTGCCTGCTCTACCTACTACTGTACTCTTCTCAAAAACACAGGGACAACGGCAGAGACTTGACCTTCGCTGGTGATTTGCAAGCACCTCCTGGGATCGGCAGAGACGGTCGGGATACGGGCAGACTCAGACATCGAATCGACAAGACGGTTGACGATTTCCGACATGGACCAACAGGAAATTACCATCTTTTCACCACACCCATCAAATACAGAGTTTTCGGGAATGCACCTTCGGGACGTTGGTACACCCGTGCTCGTTCCCTAGGTCCACTCGGAAGATGATCTGCTCACTTACGGGAAATGTTTGAAACGACGAGGTCTCATACGCAGATGACGGCATTTTTTATGAATAAATATTGTATGAATCGATTGTGTAAATGCGAGGCATTACGTAATGTTTTTTTTTATCGAATACCATCACATCTCTACATCAGAATCTGTGGAATCCTGCAAAGATGGTATGCTTGAGATGGGATTTCAAATACTGTTCCATATTTGCGTAAATATTACGTTGTACAGGTATTTGGAATTCCTCATCTCGAGTTTCCAGAATGCTGAATGCCCAAACTTTTCCAAACATCTAATTGCACACCATCGGCCACTTGGGAGAAAATTTGAATCTTCAGCAACATTTCAACATGGAAGTTTGAATCGACTATTAATACTATGGAACAAGAATTGAAGGGCACCATAATTCAGATTCGATTTCGGTCAAAATTAAATTTTCTATGCCGTTTATTCTTGCAATGTTTCAATTTTCAGTAACTCAAAATCGGTGGGCACATCTTCGTTTGGAATAGATTTTACAGTAAATTCAAGATTTAGAAATTGGAATGTGCGCGGTTTCCTGCGTTCAGCTCATATACTTTAAACGGATTATCGTGAACAGGAATATGCTCTATTAATTTTTATAAATCATCAATAGCATGGGTGCATATTTATGAAACACAATAAACTGACGTTTTGTATACGGATGAACACCCAGATTTTTCCTGTCAAACTTGGAACAAGTGCCTCCTATGCTTGTGGGAATGCGGTACTCCAGGAATAGTAGTTCACAGAATTCGTGAACAAGCACGAGATCGAACAAACCACAGACAGCAGACAGTTTTCATTCGACGACAACCACTCTGCAACGTCAATTCAAAGCCACCTGCGACAAACGCTTTACGTCAAAAAATCTTCGCTTTTTCTCAGATAAAAGCGCATTCGGTAACTTTTATCATGTCAACGCTCAGAAGAATGGAAAACAACGGTAGAAGACAAAAAGTTAATCACATGGAATTACTGAAAAGTTTTTGAACTCGTCAATTCTGGTGAAAGCACAGGGAGGACTAAATTAGCACCTGGTCATAGTTTCATTTGTTTGCCAAATGAACATGATTCTTCAAAAATGATTCCCTGACGGCTTCATCTTCCGGAAACATCTTCATCAGTTCTTCATTCGGAAGATAATGATCCCCCTTGAACGCATCGAAATATCGAGGCACTTCACTATTTGTCACTGTTATTCCGCTCCTATTCGGCATCTCCAGATTTTCTAGAAAGAAAAAGTTATACCTGTGTGTTTTGAGAGAACGTCTCAGACACCGAGATTTTCTGAATCATTACACAGGTGTCCCCCGAATTTTTCTGAAGCTTTCTCGAAATTCGTTTTCTAATCGGCAGGGCATCTTACCGATATAACTGTTTCTAGACATGGCAGTGCTTGCGGAAAATCGTTCGGGAACCACTTTGTCCTTAGCCACAACTAGATTTAATTCAAAATAATGACTTGGAAGTTCCAAGTCTACGTCATTCCATGATGTCACACATTTGAACTCTTGCTAGAATAAACTGGATTTCTCTCTGTTCGTCAAAATAGTCAACACCAAAAACTTCACGCTACAATGAATCAATTTTTCAACCCCTTTCGTCAGCTTTCTTTAATAAGCCGAACTCTCGATTAAATAATTACGGTAGTGATTCAGGCGACACCTACTTGAGATTCTATAAAACATTGTTAGAGCGTCTTGATAAAAAGGAAGATTTTTCCTTGAACTCTTTTTTTTTAATGGGTTTGGGCTCACCTTGTGCAACATAACGCTCTGATCCGTCGCAAACGAGGACATTATAGAAAGGCTGTTTATTTTGCAGCGGAAGTTGATGAACACGGTTTTCTTGTTGCCAATCCCTCGAAGCTTTACACGATTCGTCCCAGCGATAAATCACGCAAATATAATCGTAACGCTTGTGATGCATTATCATGCCTATAGCAAACGTTACTTCCAAACTATTCTCAAATGCTCGTCGCATTTCGCTTCTCTTCGTTACTTTCCAGGTATCCTACGGAAAAATCCTTCATATCAAAAGATCAAAGACAATTTTGAAAAATTCAACTCACCGGAAAAAGACGACCGGACATTGAAAGTCCTTCACACATTTTCGAAACCTCTCGAGGTTCTAGCCATGTAGAGAAAAAATTCTGCATCATAATACAAAAAATAAAAGATACATGAATTACATCATATTATTGGATGATGACCAAATTTGCAACAAACCGGATGAAAAACGCTGGTGAAAGGAACGTTTTTTGCAGTCGCAGGCCGAGTTTCGCGGAAGATCGGTTTGATCATTTCGCTTGCTTGAGGTATACTCCTAAGCACAAGACTCGATAGCAATCGCGTGGATTTCAAACTTGTCATAAGCAACCTTCGGGACCAATTCGTAGTCGATGAACTTATTGTGCAGCTGCACCATCCCAACATAAGCTGCGAATAATTGATGAAAAACGAGTTTTAATCGAAGTCGGCTTGTTCCACATTTGAAAGATCTTACTGAATCGACTGTTTGAACTAGGGCTGTTTCTGGAACACCAGCTGCGAATGACCGCCAAATCAAAGCACCGCCTATGACGATCTCGTCTGACCCCAACTCCGAACAAAGCATCCCGCTTAAATTATGGAAAAATAAAACCCCGATTATTAATGTTTTACAGTATCACACAATGTTGAACTGAATTTCGAAGTGAAACGGGAAAACCTTACAGTGAATCCTTTAGGAACAGTGTTCCCAAACCTTTTCGCGCTCGCGAACCGAAGAAATTTCTTAAAACATTTCGCTGACTGGAAGAAATTCTTTGAACAACTTCCATCACTAAGTCCTCCAAACAAAACTCTTATTGCAAAAATTAAGTCAAGAACCGAAGAAGTGGCTACAGTGGAATGCCTTAAAAAAAATTAGAAAGCTAAAAGGTTTCTCAGATTAGAAACTTGAAATAATTCATTCCAGCAGGCGAAAATGATATTTTACCAGAAGAAAAGCCAAATTGTATCTTTCATCAGATAGTTTCAACAGCCATGTCGTCTCGAAATTTCCGATGAAGAGAACAGACTTCACTACATTTTTCGATACATGTGTTATGTAGAAGAAAATTTTCCCACCTAGTCCGCAGACCACTGATAAAGAATGATCCCCTGAAATTCCACTTCCATTTAGGAAGCAAAAACGAAGACAATTCGAAAATACCATAATAATTTCGTTTTTAAGCAAGACAAATCAGAATACGTACGCCTCAGAACTTCGAGAAAAATGCAACCAAACGACTCCAACTTCGTGCGACCCCAAACGCCAAGATTCTCCTCTCGGAAGCCGCAACCGACAAACGATTCCAAATCTTAATGCAACAGAACAAATTACGGCAGCTATCGTAATCGCCCAGCCCTTTCTTGCGTCCAGAACCTTTGGAAAACACGATCACATTTTGTAATATTCTTAATGCGACTATTGGTGAGAAACATTTCTTTGAAAACTCGTGGATGATACAGGATCTAGTTCAGAAGCTTGTCAGTTTCTGTGATTCCCACTGTTACGAATTTCACTTGCTCAAGTTAAATTAAAGAAAAAATTTCGAATCACTATCTTAACTCGGCTCCATGAGAAAATCTCGCGGCTCGAAAATCCCATAACTTGGAGTTCAAGAAAATTAACGCAAAATTATACTTCAGAAATGAAGTTGAACTGAATAATCATTAGAAAAGTACACAGTTTATATTTTTTTTAAATCCAGGGATTAAGGCTATATCTTTCCAGGTTTCCTTTCCTTTGAGGAAGGAAATCCTAAAATGTTGAAGCAGTTGGAGGGAAAACCCAGAAACATTCGCAGAATACATATTACACGGGATTTTCGTACCCCGCAAGATTTTCCGGTCTAAGGGATCACGGGATTTTCCGAGCCGCGGGATTTTCTCCTGCAACCCTTACCTCATCAATGTACCCGTCCTTCAGGCTTTGATTTTCTGGTCCACTGACTCGCCAACTTTCAATGCGAAGCAAATAATTCATGATGAACTTCATCGCCACGTCGTTATCCGCAGTCTTGGGTAATTCTGATTCCATTCCCCCGAGATAATGCCGGAGCTTTTGCGCCGTTTTAGGACCGTTGTAGCCCCACAATCCGCTTTTCCTTCGCACCCACCATTCCCTATTTTCTCGCAGAACCCAATGCCGAGGATGATTCGCAGCGAACGAAGTCATCACACGGGAACTAAGCGCATCTAACTTCCTCGCAACATCGTCGTAGCAAATAAGTTGGTAAGGTTTCAACCATTGAGCTCCGATTGCCAACGGCAGACAAGGAGGATAATTGTCGATTAGTGCGTCTTCTTTTATCATTTTTGTGACTTCAGGAATGAGAAGCCAGTGATACTGTTGCAATAATTCTCGAACAACTTCTTCTGCGTAGTACTTCATCGTCAACCGTTCGTTTCTGAAAAAATACAGTCACGAAGTTATTTAAAACAACATGTTTATCTCGGTCTATTTCTCTACAGTGACATTCTTTACACACGCACTTTCTTCGAGTGTTAGCACGTTTGTGGTCGACGTGTACCGGGATACTCGAACAAGATTAGCTCTGTAACAAAATTACCAAATTCGGCGAATGGTTCGATGCTCCTTGCAATTACAAGTACGGTTGACATCAATCATCTACAGTATCAATGAAAAATATGAGCGCTTCAAGAACAATGCTCCAATTGTTCCAAGTCCTAATTTCGAGCGAATTTTCTGGATTGTACGTAGGAAAATTGGTGACTCGAAGTAAAGTTGAACAGGCCTCTTCAGTTCTTCTCGAAAGTATTTATTGTCCGACGTTCTATAAAGAACGTGAAGTAAGGAATTCTACGAAGAATCTTCAGATTAAATCTTTAAAGACAGTTTGATCTCATGCCTGACGATGAGCAGGAAACAAACTTACGGTCGGTCGTTTAAGATGAACCGAAGAATGTCCCATAGATGAATAGGCGCACTTCGACGCATTTCCGCCAATCGCATAATATCCTTGAGGTCGCTGTACCAAATTAGCAGGGACTTCTGTGCAAAATATCTTGGCGACAAAAGTTGAAGCTCTTTTATCACAGGTTGCTCCAGACGGACACGAAACAGACTCTCTTCCCGCCAATCAACATTACAGAAAGTGTCGAATTGGTCGCTTATCAAGGTGTACAAATCCGGCCAACTATTCCGAGAAATACCGTTATTCAAAAACACGAGAAGCTAGTAATTCGCGTAGGGAGAAACTTACGTGTTCCGAAATTTGTTTCGCCATAGTTCCTGAGCACTAATTGTGACGAGTTCGTGGAAAGTTTTACAAGTCAGTCCGAAGTTGCACAAATCCGCAACGCTCAACGCTTGCTTTCCCAGAATACAAACTAGAATTTCACGGGGAAGATCAAAGATCTCTCCACCCATTTTAATGCACGAACTTCCAGAGATCCTGCTTCAAGGAGAAAATTCAAAATCATCCAAGACCTCCGCTTTTGGCCAGCAATTCGATCTCGATCATGCTCCAACAAAATCTTCAAGAAGGCTACTTTCGAGCGCAAGACAATCTATTCGTGAAGTTTCTTCCGCAACCTCTCGAAGAAAGTGCATTCTCTGTCAGACCTATCGAATAATAAATAATGAACTGCGAAGTGAGAAATTGAAATGAGTTAGCCCAAACAATTCCAAGTTGAAGTAGAAAAGCATCCTGACCGAAAGCACCCGAACAGGTACAAATCATATAGACAAAGAACGAGGAACAATGACACTCATGAACCGTAATTCATTTGGTGGAAGTGGACTTCTAGAGGCATGGGGTTACTTCATCAAGTGAGTGCGGAAATAGTCTCGATACTATTTCCACACTTACTTTCCTAGTCACTATCTTTCTGGTAAAATTTGACCCAACACTTCGATAAACTTCTTCCATGGTTTAAGACAATTCTTAACTGAAGTTAAGATTACCATCAGAACATTTGTCATGGAAGACTACTGATCATCTTTTCCTCATCGCAATTCATTCTAAACGGTAGATTGAGGATCCGTCTCTCGAGTTACGTTCTAAGTTTGATATCAATTGTGCCGAACCAGAAAAGATCATTCTCATACGTTTTGCGTGGCGCTTAGACGATCGGTAAAACTTCATCCGGCGGTACTTCAAGGAAATTACTAATCTAACGCCTTCATGATCTTCTCGTTCAAACAACGGAAAGATCAAGCATGCGTTTCTCCTCGTTTTTTTTTTCTATACCCCCTCCTCGGAAATCCAACTATGTTTGCGTCAGAAACGAACTTCGTGAAATTCGCCACTCAAAAGCTGACTCAATGGGAGATTGCGTTGACGCGTGATCACAAAATAAACGAAAAAATTAACGGTGAAATAAAAGCAAGAATTCAGGCCGACACTCGAAGCTTTTACTTCATTCATTGTTTCGAGGCAAGTCTCGAAAAAAGTGAGCTCATGCCTTTTTCGCGGTCTTAAGTTGGGTGGCGATGCGGTTCAAGTCGCGACGACCCTGGTTCGACAGAATGCGGCCTCCATTGGTCTGATCCCGTTCGATCCACTTGATCTGTTCTAGACTCTGCAAGGCCCGACGAGCAACGGAACCAGAGCTAACGCAGAAGTGCGCTGGTGTGGTTCCATTGCGCTTCCTGCCACCGAAGATCCTTCGCACACCTCCAACACCAAGTGGGGCCCTATGAAAGACAAAATACAGATGTACTACCGGACACCACAGAAAAATTCATAATTTTCCGATCATACATCATCCAACTCTACAGAGAAACGCGTGATCAGACATGAAAACTTTAGTAAAAAATATTTTCGTTAAACACGATGCGCGTGATTTCCAAATGTTATCACATTCAGTTCTGAAACTCAGTTTGATGTCGGGTTAAGTTGGCTTTTTACGTCAAGATGAAGGAGATATCCTTCATCGTTGCTAATAAGGCGTCAGTAAAACGAGAGTGCAAAACCGATCATGCAAAAAATACCCAAAAATTTGACCACAAACCTGATGTAGACATGACGAACCAAGGCGGCACAGCGCGTGTAATACCAGTCCTCATCATAAGGAGCCAATTCCTTGTACATTCCAGTCTTGACAAGGTCGACCCAATCGGGGACCTTCAGCTTACCGGACTTCTTCAAGAACGCGGCAACTGCTCGAACGAACTTGTGTTGATCAACATCCTTCACTGACACAGACACCATTTTTGGCGGATCAAAAAAAGGCGAACTAACACCAAAATCTGAGAAAATCCAGGAGATAAATTACGAATCGCCAAACCAAAAATCAAACGTAGAAGCATTCAATGTATCAACTGGCAATAAATGTTCCATTATTGAATCACAGACACTTTGATCGCAAGAGGCACTCGCAGAAATTATGCCCACGCCGTCATCAGCTGAGTTTCCTCGTTCTGAATGTCTAAAAATTTCCGAATCAATGCACCGAACACGAAGTACGAACTCTGCAAAACTAGATCTTCGCCACATGACGAGAAAACAAAACCACATTATCACCAAGTTTCTTCCACATAAAAGGGAGACACTTCAGGGAATGAATAATCTCGATCTTTGAAAGATTCCTTCCTCCTACTGCCGCAACATCGTGAATTCATGAAGATAAGTCCAGCGAAGACGTAAAGAACGCCCAATAGAGTACACGCTGCCATCAAACCAGCGGCAAAATTAAGCTTCCATGGCTCGATTTCTTCCACGCCAGACATTGTGACATTGTGGGAACAAGCCCGATCCGTGAAGAGGACCAGATCCTGAAAGATTGTAAAAGAGACTTTTTTTCTCCAAAACGGCGAAGAGTTTCTATAATGCTAAAGGCGATCACGACGAACTTGAAGAACCGCGCTCATGAAAATTCGTACGACTTTGATCGGCATTCAAACACATAATTTCAGGAACATAAACGTACTAGGCGACACACTCAAGCACAAATCTACTCAACTGCATAAGTAATGTTCACAAATCCAACAGAAAGCTTGGTTTCGCTTGAGCAAAGCATCCAGACCCTCGACCGAGCAAAATTTCCATCGCTGAGGAAATAATCCGCGTAGAGAAATCCCTTCGAAGGATCGACACCAAAGCGTGCTGTCGATATAAACCCCATGTTATAAAACGTGGTGCCGTTACGTCGGCAAATCTAAAAGTAAAAGGCATCATTATGAATATTTCATATTCAAGAAAATTTACGTGATTTGCCTTACACATGAAGCACCCTTACAGCATGGCGACCGTGCAATCGTCAGATCCATCTTCGCTTCTCCGCAAGGATCGTAGAAAAAGAATGAGCCATCATGAGCAGCAACATTTCTCAGCCTACACAATGAAAATAACAATTTAACATAAATATAGAAAAATATGCAGGCCTCGTGTCTCACCTGGCTCTACCTTTCTTCCCTTGCAGACCTCTCAAACTCAAAACACTTGAGTTGGAGAACTTAACTTCACAATCAGAGATTTGTTCGAGATCAGCCGACCAGCACGAGCTGGCACATACAATGGCAACGATGGTTAAGGTCAAGATCATTTTACGAAAACCTGCAACGAAAATCGAGGAACCAAATGCATTATTTGAAAGGGCATACGGGAAAAAATATATTTCACGATGTGTACGTTTACGTTATTCACTTAAGGGCATCTCCCCCACTTTCAGAATTCATGGTTTGCTCTTGTTCTTTTCGAGCATTCCGTTCCACCTCATTCACAAATATGTTCTGCCGATAATACTTCAACTCTTCAATGCTTTCAAGGATGTCATCCAGCGATCGATGAGAGAGCTTTTTCGTAGGACAACGGCTGAATATACCAGGATACCACCGTCTAAAGCAACATTAATTATCAAATCATATGTAGGTTTACAATGCAACAATACTGACGCGAACCTGCAAATTTCCTTGATAGATGAAACATCGATGATACGATAGCTGCAATGCTCGTTGAATTTCGGCATCAGTCTGCGAATGTATTCACGATCTGTGTGAACGCTGCTGCCCGCGATCGGACATTTTCCAAACGGGGTCAAGGCTTCTACGAACTTCAAGACTTTCTGTTCAGCCTGTTCCAAACTCATCGTACTTTTACGGCACGCTTCTGTCAATCCTGACTTAAAGACGCATCAGAATCCAAATGTAATCAGTACACTGACATTAAATTACCTTCCCATGATGCTCGACACACCAAGCATTCATGCTATTCAGCACATCATCCGGTTGATGCACGATACATTCAACACCCTCATCCAATACCTCCAAGTCAGGGTCAGTAACCAAACACGCGATTTCCAGTATCTTGGCGTCCTGCTCTAACCCCGTGAGCTATTCCATTCCAAGCACAGAATTAAGGATATCATTGATAGACTCAATTTCAAGGCTCTTACCTCCAAGTCAATCCAAATGATTCGTTTGCCAAACTTTCCTCCGGTTCGTGAGGTCTTCGCGGAGGTAGACATTATCGCAGCGGGCACTCCCGATAGGTGATCTTTTCGTGGCCCGCTCTGAGTCAATCGCTTTAGAAACGACAACTTCGGATAAACCTGCGTAAATGTTTTCACACTTCCCCAGTACATTCGCACTTCCTTCGACGAGTTTTTCGCACTGCTACTGAACGAATTGGAGAACTTAGATGATAATTATACATTCAGTTAGCATCAGTGGCGTTACTTCCACGACGCGGCCATTTCTCGGAACGCGTACAACGAAATGCACCCGATCATTCTGTGGTTGTCGGCACCATGAGAGACAGACATGTGCAGCACAGCATAAACGTAAGTACAACGCATATACAGCACTGTATGTCAAGAGGTGAAGCAAAGGATACCCCAGGCATCCTCATTTTTTGAAAATGTACACATAAACTATCATTGCACTTCAGTTTATCAGCCATATCAAGGAAGATGATTAAATTAACAAAGGGTACAAGTTGAAAGCAGTGCCACAAGAAATTGCAAGCATTTGAGTTTCTTTACGGACCTATAAACCCAATTGCAAGTAATTTGACTGCATATCTGGATCATTTGATATCAAATTTGATACAAGTTAAAAGCAGTGCCACTAGAAATTGCAAGCATTTTAGTTTCTTTACGGACCTGTAAACCCGATTGCATGTAATTTGACAGCATATCTGGAACATTTGATATCAAATGTTCCCCATGTGCACGAATAAAACAATTGTTGCTTGCAAAAGGTTCAATATTTTGGAGATGTTAGAAAATGACAGCAAGATTGGTCTTGGTATGAACAGCAGAGAACAATAGCACTGCGATCCAGTGCTGTGATGTTTAAATGAAATAAAATCTGCAAAAAAAATCACGGATCACTTCAGTGCCACTTATTTAAAAAAAAGCATACGTGATGAAATAAGTAATCAAGTTCCCACAGCAGCTAGAAGAAAATATATTTCGATCTGTCCTGAAAAATCATGCGTCAACAACAAAACAATGCAGGACTCAATTAGATTTTGAAAGTCCACAAGGGCATCATAAATTCAACCACTGATCACAAAATCAAAATGAGATTACCATATAGAAACAAATTCAACAGAACTTGGAAGACACAAAGCTTCTAAAAAATGAATTGGCAGGATGTTTAACAAAAAAGTTTACCCACATAAAACCCGAAATCAAGATGGTGGAAGTGCTACAATCACCAACATAACTGGAATGCACGGCCCGCAAGCCCTCATCTTGAATTACCGAGCGAATTTTCAGGATAACACTAAAAACCCTCGAGAAATATTCTGCATGTATTAATTCCCACTTCAATCGGAATAAAATGATGAAAAGAAAATAACACCACGAAATCCGTAGCACCCGAACAGAACTCCTTCAAACATTGAAATGCGGAAGCAAATGGTTGAGATTACGCTCACCAGTAAGGTTAATTACCGGAAGCTAGTTCGTACGTGTGTATGAACAAACGCCGTAAGAATAACAGTAAAATCAAGATTCTAAAATCCGGAAATACACAAAAGGTCATAATTACTCATATTGAACAGGATCATGACTTCATCGACGGTAAATCTTCAAAACGCACCACGTCAGCAAAAACCAAATAAATAAATAACGAGTTCATCCGTCAGCATGCGAGCGACGAACTTCTCCCAATCACATAGGATCTGCAGGTTTCCGTCATCGCAGCATGGAATATTTCCGCAAAAAAAGACAACCAAAACAATTTTCCTTCTTTACAACAAACGGCATTGTCTATCGAGAACGCCGGTCGACGTAAATATTTCATTCGCCTTCTTCTTCTGTTGCTTCTCCGATTATTTCAAACTCTTTGTCTGTTTGCGAGTTTCTACTGCTCTGAGAACCCTCGTCGTCCTCTTCCTTACGCGGTTCATTCTCATCTTTTTTGTGCTCAGTGACCTGGCCTTTCTGATCATTCTTTCCGGATTTCGTCCTGCAACGAGAACCGGATATAATTCCTTCACAACGACAGTAAAAAAGTTGAAGACATTTTAGAGATTGATAATCAACAACTCGAAATAGTCGCAATGAATACGGCAGCTTTTACACACGATCGCAAGCTCTCATCCAATTACAATAATTATCGTAGGAAACCAATTTGAAGGAAATTTGAATTTCGTTTCAACGATCAACCGACTTACCTTTCAGAATCCGTTGCCTTGGAAATATCTTCCGTTTCAGTATCGGATTCGCTTCCGGAGGATTCCTCTTCCTCTTCGTCGTCTTCTGACTTATTTGAACTAGGACCCTTGTACTCGTACTGAATAAAATTTCGTGTAGACATATAAATTCCAAAAAGCTCAGGGCATCAAAAAGGGGCAATTCGAACCTGAAAAAGCGGCCAGAAAGATGCAAAAAAGCCAACGTCTTCCGTTAGATTCGGCAACAGCCACAGATGATGCCGTCCCAGTGTCAGCAACCATATCAGCGCAAAAATTAACATGCGCACAACCGCCAATCCAAGAATGAATATGAGGAATCCAGCTCCAGCCAAGCTCAAATAATACACTCCCTTCCTGAAAAATAATCCCACACAGACAAAAATAAACGTAATATGAAAGGTACAACGAATGGGCGATGAATAACTCTACACGTAATGATAAATACTAAGCGCATTCCGACGGACGAGCACGCGAAATTCGAATCAATTAAAAAAGAGGTGAAGAAGGCGCAAAACCTTTCTTACTCAAGCAATACCTTTCTTACTTTGTCTTACTGTCAAAAGAAAAATTACCCCGACCTAGTATGACGACGAAAAAAAGAACAAAACTGTACTAGAAAAATATCCCAGTCAATACCATCCAATGACTAAAATTTTTGTCGCTTTTCAGACTTCTTTCGCGAAATTTCTTAGTGCTTACACAACATAAGTTTATTCGCGTTCCAAATCTCGTTCGCACTGAAATTCCGCTATAAAAACTTACCTGACTGATGACGGCCACAATGGGAAAAGACAAAGAGCAATTGCCCCCAGTACAACGAGGATGGAAAGCAGCCAATAATACCAAGGAGTGGGATCGTAAATCCAAACGTACGCATCGCTTCCGTCAACGAAAACCTGAGACAAATGCATTTCCAATTTGATGCGTCGCTTGGGCCCTTGTTCAGACTTCGATTTATCTTCCTTGCCCTCTTTTTCACGGTTTGAAGCGTCACTTTCCTGGAAAAAGCAAGAAAAGGCACTTCATATCGTACACTGCGTACTAGGTACTACATAATAATTTAAGGTTCGTCAGCGTAAAAACGACTGATTTATCTCTTAAATACTCTTTCAAGGAAAACTTGATCAAGCGTCTAAAAAAAAATGTGCACGGTAAATTTTATGTACATCATACATGGTACTGTACCTCAGTTTTCGGATACAAATGAACATTCAGTTTACTTGGTCCAGAATTTAGTTTCTCATCCTGCATTTTTATTGATCATACAATGCTGTTACGGGCACAAAAAGAAAACCCCACCTTCGAACTCCGAAGCAGGGACTGGTTCGTTGATTCCAATCTTTCGAGGCAATATTTTTTTTTAGGCTGAGTTTTCAAACTTTTCATAGCTATTTTAAAATAATGAAAAATAAATTTTTACATTTTGTGTCTTTTACCATACAGTACTTGAAGCTTGAACATAAGGAAATTTAATCAAGTCCAAGTTCAAGTTTTCAGCCTCCATAGCTTTTACACTATACATTTCAAATCATTCAAAAATACTACGGCCCAAACAACATAATTTAAGCTTTCCTCAAGTCAGCGTTTCCGTAAACAGCCGACGTTTACCGACTGCTCTTAGAACGTACAAGAAAACATTTACCGGTAAATTACCTCTTTCTTAGCTGCATTTTCATTGTCACTTGGAGACTTCTCATCCCCAGTTCTAGCGTCACCATCTCCTTCTTCACGATTAGTCAGCTTCTTTTTTTTATCCTTCGCTGACTTTTGTTTTTCGACTTCTTTCATCTTTTCCTGTTCTTCTTGAAACTTTTTCAGTGCCTTTCCACGTAAATCTCGCGCTTTGATCGGCACACGTCGAGCTCGGTGGAATAGTTTATGCCGCAACATTCTGGAAAGATATTTAAGGAAATCCCCATTAATTATGCGACTCGTGGTTTCAAAATAGATTTTAAAATCTCAATGAGCCCAGAACATCAAATTAAAAACGGAAAGAACTGCGGAGTCTGTTAAATGAAATGAATATTGACACTCACATGTCCATGTAATTCACTACGGATTCACGAGTAGTAAATTTCACAGTAGTTTTGCTCTTGTCGGAGCCCCACGGAGATTCCAATAGCATGTCAATTGCTTTCGACGCTGCAAAAGCCATTTCACAAAAAACGTAAATAATTAGGATTTCCGAGGAAAATGAAAATCCTTAAAATCTAACCAGTGAAGAATTCCACTGTGTGTTGTAGGAACTTAGTTCGCTTCACCGGTAAGTTCTGTCGAAGGTACTTCGCAATCGCGTATTCTTCTTTTGAAGGCTTCAGAGGAACCTCACACACCAACGTGGATGGCTAAGAAAAAAATACGCAATTAGAAAATGATTCATTTCATAATAAATGAAAAAATCCCTCACCTCCTTCCCCTTCTTCTTCAATTTCTTGCGCTCCGCCATCACAGATTTTATAAAACTCTAAGACCACACAAGTCGCTGGGAGCACCGACTCTGGAATTTAAATAAAATCATAGAAGAGCATGTGCGATAGCAATGAACAAATGAACGGATGCTAATCCAATGACTGCTTTCAACAAGAGTTTTCCCCAGCGCAAGGAACACGCAGACATGAAATCGCGGAAACACTTCTGAAAATCTTCAGAGAAATTTGACATCACACACTCTTCCACCGTCATCCTCATACGGCGAGACTATCATTTCCAACTTCGAATGAACAGATTACTACTCGCGACAAAGTGTTGATTCCTGACTCATTTTCCCCGGAAATGAAAGCTGAATTCCGAGTACCAACGGCATCGGAGAACACTTCAATTTGCCTAATCGGAGTCATGTGGCAATTTAAAGCCAACCAGTTTTGCTGTATCTTCCACCGAACGTTCTCCTCTACCATGGTAGTGCTTCAACAATTCGGCGTGTTTTCTAGACGACTCCAGATAGACGAAGTACGCTTCGCCAGTCGACTGCGCTTCCTTTGCTTGTCGGCACACCAACTCACTGGTCACCTAAAGTGAACAATTACAAACGCCGAAAAACGCTTCAAAATCTCGACACCACTGCAGAGGAAAAAATCGCCATCAAATGAGTGCCTTGAATTTGAATTTTAAAAAGATTAAGAAGCATTTAAAAAACTTCTGACTTTCAAAAAAGGGTACATCTTTGAGCATAATATTTCATATACTGTGGATACTAGGACAGTTAAAATTCAGAATTTATTCTTGGTCAAGACAATAAAATCGATTGGTCTCACTGATGGAGTAAGTCAATACAGTAACTGTAAGTCATGCGTTTGCGCATATTGAACACTGGATTTATGATATGCAAAGGGAGTGCCGGAACAGTGTCATTACCTACCCTTCTAACCGGTGCATACCACTGATGATACACAATCATATATTATTCATATATTGAGAAAATAACTCATCAGTTATCTTCACTGGTCTCAAAACTCACGGACCATCCAGTGTGTTACGTATATAAGAAAAAAACAATGAATTTACAGCCAAAAATGTTTCATCACCTGGAACTTTCGAAATTGGTTGAAGACGAAATGTATTAGCGGTGAATCAATCGCGGTTCCAGTTCTCGTTCGATGTCGCAGCTCCTTCACGAGACCTCGCAAAAGTTTAAGATTCGAAGACATCATGGGGATAATCCGTACGCACTGGTATTGTTGAATGATAGAAAATGCTTGGACTTTGGATGAACGGATAACGGGTAAGAAGAAATGTCTTCAACAAGACGCGATGAGGACGGCGATGAGCACTTCAAGCCTTCTAAATCGTTTCCGAAAATGACGATCCTACGAGGCGATTTTTCAAGGCAAGTTAGGATGACTTCCTCATACAGTTCGTGAGGGCAATGTGGCATAAAAAACAACAACGTTTCGTTTCCAGGTTCCTTGAATCCGATCTCTAGACGTGAATCTCTCGTTTCAATCCTTTCAGAACCAAGAGCTCGCAGAACAGCTCTCTCGAGAGGTGATAGAACTGGCTCAAAGAAGTCAATCCCGACAAAGTACTCCTTGAAACAGTCTTTCAGTAGGCACACAAGCGCCAATTGTTTCCTACACAATAGCAGAAATTGAATATAACTTGAACCTTGAAGAATTTTCATGCAAGACTTACAATGACGAGAGAGACGAAGAGAAGTTCCCAATACCGTACACTATTATCTTCACTGAAAAACGGCCCTCAATTTCTAATAAGTCGGATGCTGTGACGCTGGCTTTGACGCCAACGGACGTGAGAGCCAACGAAATGCACTTGATAGCACGGGCCAAAACGGAATCCGTCTTTTCTAGTTCACCCAAATCCTGCTTGTGCAGTTCGATCTTCCTCAATAAATGCTCAACGGAATCCTGATCAACGACGATTGCTTGCTCAGAATCGAATGGGCCCACACGACGATACGCTGAACAGGGATATTTCCTGGGCTTCAATGCAGACGATTTTTTGCGTACAACGACCGTAAAACCGTCGGAGTCCGTAATTTTCATAACAATATACTAGTCTATGCTTCTTAAAGCATACCACTTCTCTACTTCCGATCAAAAGGATCACTCCACACTTTCATGTTACCAGGTTGGACTTCTGATTGCACTATGCCAGCTTTTTCTCTGATCTCCGAAGCTCTTTTCTTATACTTGGAGGCGTCCATCCACGGATCAATAATGATCGGATAAATCGTAACACCGATGAATGTCACAATTCCACCGACAAAAGCAGCGTATTTCCATCCAGTCAATAGAACCATAACCCGCTAAATTTTCTGAAATAAAACACCGTTATAGCCTTCCTTCCCGAAAAACACGGCGTACCGCACATTCCTGACGTCACTCGAACAGAGAAGGATATGAGCCAGACGATGGCAAACGAATGAATTCCGTATTCCACGGTTACCAGTCGTTCATTGACCGTGAACTTGTCAAGCTGATTACTAATTCTGTTTAACCCTACCTGAGAGAGGCTTCCATGACAGCATGTGAGCGTCTCTTTGATACGTGATACTGTCACAACCAGGTGGAAAGCGTGTAAGGACATGACCCCATAATGTGCTGTAAATCAGTGTACAGTACAGAATATGGTTCTAAGACTACGGCTGGGCCAGAATAGTAAGCTAACCCACTTACGTACCAGTGCGACATCTAGCGGACAAACCCCGGATCTGCCTTGACCGTCCAGAGAGCCCACGCACAGAAGCTTATCCGATGAAGGATCAGTGGAGGCTTGGGAGCGACCTAGCAAGACGAACCAAGTGCGATCATTCTGAGTTGACCACTTGACTGAGCATCATCTTCTACTTGACTGAGCATCATCTATCTTTTATCCTTGACTGTGATCTGACTCCGTGTATTGTTGTGAAGATTAAATATTGTATCCTGAAGGTGTGGTCAAAGTCCTTACTCCAGATCCAACTCTTACTGGGGGCTAGAGCCACTTGGTGATTGACCATACTGGATACCCACAACAACATGGTGCGGAATACTGAAAATTCGAAAGCAGCTGCGGCGGCAGCTGAGGAGATCGCTGAACGCCTGGAACAACAGAGGACCCCAGCGAACGCTACCCCCGATAACCGACGTGAGGAGAACCCCGACCAACGACAAGACGCGGCTTCTGCTCGAAAGCAGCTGCGGCGGCAGCTGAGGAGATCGCCGAACGCCTGGAACAACAGAGGACCCCAGCGAACGCTACCCCCGATAACCGACGTGAGGAGAACCCCGACCAACGACAAGACGCGGCTTCTGCAGCACCGTCTACTGGTCACTCCGACTCGAGCGTTTGGGAGTCGCTACCACTGGCAACCCTCGAATTCTTGGCCGACACATACCGACTTGGCCATCCCGGCAATCGATCGAAATCCGCATATGCAGCCCAATTGGAGCGGTTCCACATCCCGCTCTCGGCATTGGCTACATTCCCCATCCGGCCGACCGGCCACACGTCAGCACCGGACCAGACTCTTATCGCATTCGACGACGTGGCAGGCAATATACCCCGTCTTCCGCCCATGGCCAAACGATGGTACTCCGAGCCGTACGACCTTCCGAAGCAGCAGGCCGACGAGGAGTTCGAAGACTTTGCTGTGCGGCTCCGAAATGCACTCAACATCGACCATGTCGACGAAGAAAATCGGGTACGGTGCTTACTTCACAATACTCTTCCTCTGATCCAGAAGTCGGCGAATCGCCTGTACCGGGAGGGAGCCACCGACTTCGAGTCTTTGGTCAGCGCGCTCGCCCGGTCCCACCCGACGCCTCACCTCGATCGCCTGGAGACCTTTCGGCAGATGACTCCACTACCTGGCGAAAGCTACATCAGCTTTTCGGGACGACTGCGGGACCAGTATGTATCCTGCCTTCAATTCCCGCCCCAACTTATCCAGACAGGAGCCCCGTTCATCGAACATACCCTCATGGAGCAACTTGTTAACATCTCCGAGGGGGGCCTCAAGGAGAAGCTCCGTGACGCTTGGTTAAAGAACAGGGAGCTGTCTTGGACTGACTTCGTCGCATGCGCGGAACGTTACCGTGTCCTGCATCGCCAGGAGCGCCACAGTACGACCTCTACGACCAAGCCTCGAAAAGCTGGCAAAACCTTGCCCCCGAAACAAAAATGCGAATGGCACGGGCGCATGATGCGCCACAGCACCGAGGATTGTCGCGCTCGACTCGCCGCCCAAGGAGACAACTCGGACCAGGCAACGACGCCCCCTGCGCAGCAGCACACGAAGACCACCTCGTATGACCCCTCGAAGTCGGCGTGCTTCCATTGCAACCAGAAGGGTCATGCAGCTCGCGATTGTCCCAAGAATCAGGGAAATGCGCGAGCAGCACAGTGAATGCGGCACACTGTGCTTCGCCCATGCTTCCTACAGCGCCGCTCCCAATCATCCTGGATATTTTCATCGGATCTGCTTCGTGCCGGGCTCTTGTCGACACCGGGGCGTCCCACGCTTGCATATCTCCCAGGTTGGTTCAGTCCCTCAAACTTCAAACTCATCCTTTTTCTACTTCTGTCACAACTGTCTTATCATCCCGCGCGGTGAACGTTACAAGCGCAGTTTCCGTTGCTTTTCGTTTTCGCGGCGTAACTCACGAAGGTTTTTTTCTTGTTCTGAATGACCAGTTTCTTTCTCTACTTCTGTCACAACTGTCTTATCATCCCGCGCGGTGAACGTTACAAGCGCAGTTTCCGTTGCTTTTCGTTTTCGCGGCGTAACTCACGAAGGTTTTTTTCTTGTTCTGAATGACCAGTTCGACCCCCCCGTTATCCTGGGTCGCACGCTGTTGTCACTTCTTCCGGTTACGGTTACAGTTGATGGCGAGCGCGTGTTTACCGGTTTTCAGACAATGATTCGCCCCCAGGGCAAACCGGATCTCCCAGTCGGGGAGGGAATTTCTTTTGTGAATGGCACACCAGATGAGAGGTCCACGGTTTGCGATATTCTTTGTGAATTCCCTTCAGTCATATTCCAGTGGTCGGGAAAACGGGGTTTGCTGACGGAGCATGTTGTTCACATCCCAACCAGCAATTCCACGCCCCCCGCTGTACGCCCATTCCGGCAATCCGCGGAACGTAACGCGCCGTTCACCCAGATTGTGGATCGATACCTGCGCGACGGGATTCTCGAACCGGCCACGTCGCCGTACAACTCCCCCGCGTTTGTCATCCCCAAACCCGGTTCTAAACCGGATGACCCACTGGACAAGCGGTGGAGAATTGTCGAGGATTATCGCGAATTAAATAAATTGATTGTCTCGGATAATTACCCTACCCCAGTAGTACAGGAATTACTCGATGCACTGGGCCGCAACAACGCCTATTTCTGTACGATGGACCTGCACTCGGCCTTCCATCACCTACCGATAGCGCACGCAGATCGACCCAAGACGGCTTTTACAACACCCCG